CGCCCCCGCCCCCGCCCCCGGCAAAGAGGTCCTTGACCAGCAGGATGGGAGATCTGGGGATACAAACTTACAGGGCCCCCCCACGCCCCCCCAGCAGAGAGGTCTCTGACCAGCAGGATGCGAGATCTGGGAATGCAAACTTACAGTGCCCGCCCCCCCCCGCCCCCGGCAGAGAGGTCCCTGACCGGCAGGATGCGAGATCTGGGGATACAAACTTACAGCACCCCCCCACCACTGGCAGAGAGGTCCCTGACCAGCAGGGATGCGAGATCTGGGGATGCAAACTTACAGTGCCCCCCCCACCCCTGCAGCAGAGAGGTCCCTGACCAGCAGGATGCGAGATCTGGGGATGCAAACTTATAGCCTCCCCTCCCCCTCCCCAGGGCAGAGAGGTCCCTGACCAGCAGGATGCGTTCCTCCCTGTTTGCCCCTCAGTGTGTGTGCTGCAAAATTTAATTTCAATCATGCCCCTTCCCCTGTCCAGTCTTCCCCAGAATACTCAGCAGCTTCTGACATTGTGCATTCTGTAGAAAATGACCCAGCGTATGCAGCATTTCCCAGTGTGGGGACGCACCATGATGGGGTCCACTGACCCCTGTGTCTGGTACCGGTGTGCAAGCGCAGCTGGTTACTTCCTGCATGGGATTCCCTGAAGGATTGAGCCCTTTCAGCAGCGTCCCACACACACACCCCACACACACACCATAGACCTCATGGGACACACCGTAGTGGTGTCCTAGCACCCGGGGACCCCAGCACCACGGGACCCCAGCACCATGGGGCCCCAGGACCCCAGCACCTGGGGACCCCAGCACCCAGACACCCCAACACCGTGGGACCCCAGCACCATGGGGTCCCAGGACCCCAGCACCTGGGGACCCCAGCACCCAGACACCCCACCACTGTGGGACCCCAGCACCATGGGGTCCCAGGACCCCAGCACCTGGGGACCCCAGCACCCAGACACCCCACCACTGTGGGACCCCAGCACCACGGGGCCCCAGGACCCCAGCACCGGGGGACCCCAGCACCATGGGACCCCAAGACCCCAGCACCAAGGAACCCCAGCACCGCGGGACCCCACCACCGGGGGACCCCAGCACCCGGACACCCCACCACCACGGGACCCCAGCACCCGGGGACCCCAGCACCCGGGGACCCCAGCACCACGGGACCCCAGCACCCGGGGACCCCAGCACCCGGGGACCCCAGCACCCGGACACCCCAGCACCACGGGACCCCAGCACCATGGGGACCCAGGACCCCAGCACCACTGGACCCCAGCACCCAGGGACCCCAGCACCGTGGGACCGCGGGACCCCAGCACCCGGGACCCCAGCACCCGGGACCCCAGCACTGAGGGGCCCCAGCACCGAGGGGCCCCAGCACCGAGGGGCCCCAGCACTGCAGCGTCTCTAGGGCCATAGTGAACCCGCCTACCCCTCCCACAGGGCTCCCGGGTGACTCCCAACAGGCACCTCACAAGTCGGGAATGTGGTTTCTCCGCATTCCAGACCCGCCAGCCCCTAGGGATTAACATCCTGGTGGAAATTCCTGGAGCCGAGCAATTACAAAGGTCAGAGCCCTGGTGGGGGGGGTGGCCTCCACTGGGGGAGAGCCTCCAGAGCACGAGAGCCTGCAACCCGAAAACGTAGACCCCTGAGCCCTCCCCCAGGCGGAAGTGAGGGACAGGCTGCCCCCACCTGGGCCCCAGCTGGCACCCCTCCCCCGCTTGCGGCCTCAGGCTGTGCAGGTGTCAACCCTACAGCCAGGTGCATGCCCCCAGGAGGACGCCCCGGGTCACCCTGACCTTCCTCTACACACACCCCCCCCAGGAGGACGCCCCGGGTCCCCTGACCTTCCTCTGCACACCAGGCACCACCACCCCACCCCGTCCCGGGTGAGGACTCCCCAGGTCACCCCTGCTCCTCTCTACACCACGCCCCGTCTTGCGGCCTCAGGCTGTGCAGGTGTCAACCCTACAGCCAGGTGCATGCCCCCAGGAGGACGCCCCGGGGTCCCCTGACCTTCCTCTACACACACCCCCCCCAGGAGGATGCCCCGGGTCACCCTGAGCTTCCTCTGCAAGCCCCCCAGGAGCAGACCCCAGGTCACCCTAACCCACCTCTGCATGTTCCCCTCCCCCCCCAGGATGGCTTGGGTCCCCCTGACCTTCCTCTGCACGCCCGCCCCCCCAGGAGGAAGCCCCAGGTCACCCTGAGCTTCCTCTGCACACCCCACCACGAGGACGCCCCGGGTCACCCTGACCTTCCTCTGCACACACCCCACCCAGGAGGACGCCCCGGGTCCCCTGACCTTCCTCTGCACACCAGGCACCACCACCCCACCCCGTCCCGGGTGAGGACTCCCCAGGTCACCCCTGCTCCTCTCTACACCACGCCCCGTCCCGCAAGGACCGCTGTCCCAGGGAGACAAGCGCTGGGCAGGGAGGATGGAGCAAATCCGAATGAGAGAACAGGTTCTGTGCTGTCCTGCACCTGAGGGACAGGACCGCAGACTCCCTGCACATTCCCTGCACACCCCTCCCTGACTTCCCCCCCCGCACACACCCCCTCCCTCCCTGCCTTTCCCTGCACACACCCCCTCTCTGCACAACCCTGCCCACCCCCTCCCT